CATCAGAGACCTTTAAATAAAAGGTTCTTTTAGTTGAGAGAGGAGGCGTTCCTGCATCTGTCGCAACAACAGTGATGTTATATTCTGAAACCTTTTCACGATCTAATACAGTATCTGTTATCAAAGTATAGTAATTTCTTAAATTAGATTTAATTTTGAAAGGTGCATCTTGTTGTATTCTACAGATCACTTGTCCGTTTTCTCCCGAATCGAGGTCTTTTACGTTTATAATGCCAATAGTTGTACCAGGAGGAGAGTCTTCGGACACCGGACTAGTGAATGACATAACGCTAATCGTAGGGGCGTTGTCATTTACATCAGTTACTTCAATCATCACTTTACTTGAATCCGTTAAACCCCCCTCATCTTTTGCATCGATTCTAAGCTCATATTTTTTATCCTTTTCAAAATCTATTGGACCCGAAACAGACAAGATACCAGAGACCTGATCTATGGACAACAAATCAGCTATGTTGCTTCTCACGTTTGAAATTGAATATGTGATGTAACCATTCGATCCACTATCTGCGTCTGTAGCATTAACAGTAACGATATGAGTGCCCTTTACTGCGTTTTCTATCACAGTAGCTTTATACATTGATTGGTTAAAAACAGGCGCATTGTCGTTTACATCTAAAACCTTGATGTTTATATTTACGGTGCCAGATCTCTGTGGATTCCCACCATCTACTGCAATAAGCTTTAACGAGAGATGGGGAGCCCTTTCTCTGTCTAATTGCTTCTGAAGAACCATCTCAGCATATTTACTTCCGTCCGGATTTACATGCTGCTTTAAAACGAAGTTGTCGTTTGAAGATAAAACATAATTCTGCAGGCCATTGACACCAACATCAGGATCCTCTGCACTGTCCAGCACAAATCGCGCCCCAAGGTTAGCTGACTCGCTAATGTCTAACATAATATCTGACTTCTTGAATACCGGAGGATGATCATTCACATCTAACACTTCGATCGTTATGTGGTGAAGCTCCATCGGAGTTTCTAAAATTATTTCAAAGCTGAAACTACACGGTGTTACGTCTCCACAAAGCTGCTCTCGGTCTATTCTCTCATTCACAACTAGAATCCCTTTGTCTGTCTTCAGCTCAGTGTACTGGAGATTTTCTCCGGTCACGATACGGGCTCGGCCAGAACGGAGCCTTTTCAGATCCAAACCAAGGTCCTGTGCTACATTACCGATAAGAGAGCCCTTCTTCATCTCCTCTGGTATAGAGTAGCGGATCTGCCCTGCGACGATATTAAAGAAGTACAACAATATAAGAACCATTACCCGCGGATGTCCGAAATGAAAACGCCATTTGCAGAGTGGTTGTTGATACGCCATTTCAGAAATGGAAATGTTCCAAGAAAAAAATAGCAGAGAACCTTCGAACTCAATTCAATAACATCCACTCTTGCAGAGATGATTTTTAAAAAAGAGAAATAAAGCCGCTAGAATCCACGCAACACCGTTTCTTTTCGAGATATACGTTTCCCGATGTTCCCTCTAAGCCACCTCAATGTGATCTTACAAAGAACGTCACTGAATTGCAAGAGAGAGCTTATGGGTGGACATTCTATTCTTGTTAGACAGCGTCACTTAGAGTCCAAAACGTGCACACCAAACATATTGGTAGTAAATCATGAAGGAAGTATCCAAGGAAAAGAAAAAACAAGATAAATACTAATGCCTGTAATATATTGGCAAATTACAAAAAACTATGATTATCATTATTACCACAACTATGATTATTACCACGATTTAATTTATTCTTATTATTCTTATTATTATTATTATTATGACGATTATTACTATGACTACTACTACCACTAATAATAATAATAATAATAAATTATTATTATTACGGATAACAATAATGATAGCAGGAAATTAATTGTGTAGGGTACTTAATATTTGCATATGCGGGGAAACAGACAATTAGCATTCATAAAAAATGTTTAAAAAAAGATACTATTAATACTGTTACTATTAAAAGTAGAAGTAGGAGGAGGAGGAAGACGAGGAATATAATAGGAGACGTACACAACTTTTGACATAACTGATTAGAAGTCATGAGGACAGTGAAAACAGAAAAGCCCTCTAAGTTAAAGAGTAGCTGTCCGTTTTGTGGTGCTGAAAAGAAAAGCGTGTACTTGTTTTCGGGTATAACTGCTTATTGCTATTTATGTTAATTTAAGTGAGACAATGTTGAAGAAAGCAATAATTTTGCGTATCGATCCTCACCTCCAGAGGAGAGTCTGGTTCATCCAGGATGCTCTTCTCCCTCTGTATCCGCTGCA